AACAAAAAAACCCAAAATATCTCCTTGTAATACATTCAATAAAAAATTTTAAAAGGTAAAAATAATGTATTAAGAAAAAAGAAGAAAGTGCCATGAAAGCAGAGATCTTTGTCTCTGTCCACTTATGTATTCCAAATGCTCAGAGCAGTGTTAGATATTAGTGAATATTTAAATAGTATAAAAACTTTTAATTAATCATATTTTATGGAATAAATAAATGAAATGCTTTTCAGATATTTTCTCAAAGGTCTACAACCACGTGTACTTCTACCAAATTTCAGGAGTATCTGTTTTCTTCCATCCTTACCAGCCAAGGATCCTCTGTTGCGTCCTTCCTTTGCCCTTCTAGTAAGCACTTTTCTAACTACTAGTAGGGCTGCCATCTTCTTGTGAGCTTAACAGCCATTTAGAATTCTTCTTCCAGAATAACCTACTTACATATTTGGTATATTTTTCTCCTCTTCTTCATTTTCTTCTTGAGTTTTTGTTATCAATTCTCAGGGAGCTTTTGAATAACCTAATTTGTCTTACTGCTGATAATGTCTTTCTGAGTCTAAGGCTCATCTTTGGATTATGCTTGTGATACTGTTTATCATAGAAAAATATTTAAGTTTGCATGCTGTTACACACATCTGCTTGCCTATTCCTTCATGATTTCTTTTCTTTTTTTTCTTTTTTTGTCTCGTGTAGGAAAGTCTTTTCCCACTGCAGGTTTCCTAAATTAGGAAACCTATTTCTAGTATTTTAAAAAATTGTTTTCATATTTAAATTTCATACAATTTGGAATTTATTTTAGCATAAAGGGCAAAATGAGGGCCAGTTTTTTCCTTCAGATGGATTTTGAATTACCTCATGAATTTCAGAATAAGGAGTTCTTTTCTACTGAATTGAAACAGCACCTTTATCACATGTTGGACCAATTATTAAATTATACATTATCATTATAAGATCTATATATCCATTCCCTTTTCTACTACACTGTTTGATCATAGTGTTTCTATAGTAGGTTTGTATATGTGCTAAAGAATATAGCCATCAACTTATAAGTTTGACTATTTTTGTACATTTATTCTTCCAACATATCTTTGAAATTCTTTTATCTTATTTAAAAAGCATTGTGTTTTTACTTGCTGTGTTTTTTATATATAGCCAATTCTTATTATTCATGGTAGTTATGTTCTATAACCTTGAACACTGACTTTGCGAATACTGAACCATTGTTCTTGGAAGGAATATAGGGTTAAGTTTTTGTGGCTTCTGTTCACAAATTTTCATCAGTCAATCAATACATAACCTTGTTTTAAGTCTTTGTTTACAGGCAGTTTTATTTAACATATGTTGTGGATTCATTGACATTGAACTCAGCAGTAAACAGCATGGTAGCACATGCTTGAATAAAGCTCATCTAACACACATTTTCTCATTAACATACATCATAGCTTTCTTATTCTTAGGAACACACCTGTGAAACTACCCACAAAAACCACATAAATGTGAAAAACATGGCCCCAGTTGGACTGTGTGAAGGATCCTTGCTTACACATGAGAGCTACAGCAGGAAATTGGACCTCAGCTGGGGATGTACGTATCAGCTAACGCCAACATCTTGCCTTCTACATGTCTGTAAACACTGCAACAGCACCACAAATAGGGATTTGGGGCTACAAATAAATTTTCCAAGCAGGAAAATTTATAAATACTGAGTCTCTGAGTAATACTGATAGACTATTTGAATTTTTGGAGCATGAACAGTCTTATGCTAGTGTTTTCTTTGTTAGGTATTTGGTATCTTTCTCTCTTTGTTCAGGTCTTATTTTCTGTACTCAGTGAATATAATTTTCTTTACATGAATCTTATTTTTGTTAAACTTTTTTTCTAGTTTTTCTTAAAGTAAATTATATAATCATTGCACATGGGATTTTTATAAAATGTGTAGCTGGTTATTGCTAGCATAGTGAAGAACTATGAATTTGTACATTTTTTTTATAGCCTGTCTTCACTCAGAGCCTATTAATTCTTGTTTTTGCTAGAGTTACTTGGGGTTTCTTAGGGATTCACAATCATATTAGCTGCAAATGAAAGCAATGTGGTCTTTTCTTTTTCAGTATTTCAATTTTCTTTTTTTATTGTATTTACAAGAACTTCCTGGAATACTTAATAGCAGTGGTGATATTTGATACCTAGCTTTCAATTATGTTTTTATAAATAAAATTATTTTCTTTTCAGTGTGAATAATTATATATAAAGTAAGTAAATTCACATCAAAAGGGAGGAAGCTTTTTACCATGCATTTTCTTTGCTGAATCACTGAATAAATTCATTATTATCACTTGGCAATAACCATTAACCTCTTAGAAGATGGTCAGCGCTAATGTACCAACTTAGCAGATATCAAGAATGTGTTTTTGTGTATTGCCACATTGTAAAATAGTAACATTTCACTTTCATTTCACCTAGGTCTAGTAAGAATTTATGAACTCATCAATACCCAGGCTAAATGGAAAATTATTATTATTATTATT